TGAATTTTTTTTGCCTATTGGCTAAGTTAAATCTTCCTTGCTCTAATTTACTTCTCCTACACACTATGGACACGAGCAGATTACTCATAGTCTCCTTGCTGCAGCCTTTTATATATTTGAAGACTTAGACCATGCTTTCCCTATTTTTTGTAACTCTTCTGATTAATCGTATTTTCTGGATCACTCTTGCTTTTGTAGGAATTGTCCTGATTTGGTCCAAATCTTCAAATACATTGGTCTAAATTGGCACTTAGACAAAATGGTGCCATCATCAGCTGCAGTGGAAGGACTACACCACTTCACCTGAAATGGTTTCCTGTACACATCAGTCAGAGTCCCTTAACTTCCACAGTTCTCCTAGACAGCCACTAGCAGCTCAAGGACATCTACCCCATCTTCTCTATCTTGGGACAAACTTCATTTGGAGCTTCATAAGTAGACCCACACAGTTGAGTTGATGTGTTGACTGCTAGAGCATAGAACCATAGAATCATCAAGGCTGAAGGAGACCTCTAAGGTCATCAAGTGCAACCATTCACCTGCCACTCTGCTGGAACCCCTAAACCCTAACCCAGATCCTCCAGTGTCAGATCCAGACACCTCTGAAACACTTCCAGGGATGGTGACTCCACCACCTCCCTGGGCAATCTATCCCAGTGCCTGACCTAACAGGGAAAACATTTCTCCTCACATCGAGTCTCCCCTGTCTCACCTTATGACCATTCCCTCTCTCCTCTCCCTGCAGCCATGGCAGGACACACATCCCACACCTCTCTCCAGCCCTGGCAGGGAGTTGCAGAGAGCCATGAGGTCACCCCTGAGCCTCTTCTCAAGGCTAAACAAACCCAATTCCCTCAGCCCTTCCTCAACCCACATGTTTTCTAGATGCATCTGCCATCACATTCCCTCCTTTGTTGGCAGGCCATGCCCTTAAATCCATCTGCACCTTTTTAGGCTGTGACCAACTTGGCCAGGACCTATTAGTGCATTGCCCAGTAAAAACCAGGTGCCATCAGTTCCCAAAGCTCTACTGCAATACACAGATCAGCTGCCACTACTCAAGGTGATGTCTAGTGTTCCTCAGAGCTCCTCTCTGGCTGTACAGCTGTAGACACATCCTCTTCCACCTCCTTTTTGCCTTCCTTCACCATCTGTAATGTCTTGGTACTTGAAAACTCCAACATCTTTACCCTGAAGGCCCTTTTCAATCCTCCCATCGACTTTCCGATGACACTGGGAACGTGGCTTCTGCCTTGTTGCAGCTAGTGATGTACATGTTAGTCTCTGTGACTCCAAATCCCCCTTTGTGTTTTGTCCCATTTTCTCTGTCACACCACAGGAGCTTTCTGTAAACATCAACATTGTTCCTCCTCTGCTTCCACCCCACGATCAATCCTGACAAAATGACTGCTACGCCCAGGGCCTGTTTACTGCGCCGCATGTAATGGTCTTACTGCTACCTGTGCTTCCATTTCTCTGTCATCCTCATGAATTTATGAACATCTTGCTGTTATCTCGATGTGTGTGTGCCTAGCACAACGGGGTTCCCAATCCCGCAGCGATATGTCTGCAGGCTGCAGTTAGAACAATGTTTTTCATAAGGCAGATCCTCTAACGAAGGCATCAAGCACCCTTACTCTTCAGACAAGTCTCCCTGATGAGATGCCAGACATCCTAGTCATGCCAATTATAAACCAGCCAAATTAGAGCCAAATTATCATCCCAGAAGAGATGGTATCAGAATGCCCCCATGACAGTGGGGAACAAAAGCTCTTTATCATAACCTTAAAGGTTTTATACGTATCTGTATGGGCCTGAATTAGGACAGCAGAGTAGTATCACCTACAGTGGATCAAGAGCTGATCTGCTTCTGGGAGAGGCTTTCTTGTATCTTTAAGCAATTATGTTCTGCCCTTGTTCCTGTGAGAGTCTTTTCTGCAGAAAGCCAGACAGGCAGGCAAGGCAGAGGAAGTGCCTTATCTTCAGCAAAAAAACATCAGATGCAACCCACGCAGGATTTGCTACCTCATCTGTCAGCCAGAATTACTTTAAGGGGTAGAAGAGGCATATTCACTATTTATTATCTTTCCCATTGCCCAGAGGTCCTTTACATCCTCCCACCTCCAACTAGATAAGGCTTCTTGGCATTAGACATGCACCATTGTTCCAGCCAGAAGGATAAAAGGTGTTGAAGTAATCCAGGAGATAGCATGGTGAAGAGAGTTCATAGAGTCTTAGAATTTTAGGGGTTGGAATGGACCTTAGAGATCATCTAGCCCCAACCCCTGCCCTGGGCAGGGACACCTCCCACCAGAGCAGGTTGCTCAAGGCTCATCCAACCTGGCTGTGAACACTGCCAGGGTTGGGGCAGCCACAGCCTCCCTGGGCAATCTGTTCCATTGTCCCACCATGCACTGTTGGCCATTTAAGGTGACTTGAGACTGTCGTG